CTCGTGACGATCACCGGATAATGTGGGCTCAGTCAGCCAAGGTTATCTCCATAGATAAAGACACAGGAGTAACCGGATGCAAGGTTCAGGTCCGAAACCTTTACTGCATACCAAGGGAAAAGCAACACCTAACGATAATTAGAGTTATAGTCCCCCTAACCCTAATGATTGTAAATGTGCTTCCAATAATCTTTGAGCTGAAATACCAACTGGAAACATCTATTTTGTTTCTACATCTATTTTGGTTTCTACAGATAAACTCCCCCCGTCGATTTTCTGAGTGAAATCCCTTTTTTAGACTGCTTATGAAACTCCACATTAACCAGGATTACATGCACTTTAATCTGATTTATTACTGTTAGCAGTTTCATGTATTGCCTGTTTGGTGGGGGTAAAGGAATGTTGGCCTGCGGTTTTGCAACCAGTCTGCAGTTCCCTGTAAGAGGGAGAGTTTAAGTCTTTGTCTCTTGGTGATATCATAAGACTAATCCTGCTCTGGTTTCTTTGAGATTGAACTGTCTGTAATTATGGGAGTATTAAGTGTCGCTTCTTTTTGTTTTCAGAGTAGGCTTTAACTTTAAATGTGAGACAGAAACTTGGCAGCTACAGCACATCAGAGTTAACCTAATGAATCACTTAAACATGTTATCTTATAAATAATAACATGATACATCATTGTTTATCTTGGAATCAAATAGAAAAGCCTCCATAAGTTATCTACTTACTTGATTACTTGTTCATGTTGTGGGCGTCTACATTCCCGGTGCATATCATTTAATGACTGGATATTATGTCTCGGATATTGCTGGCAGTTCATTAAGTATGTAAAAAATCCATATCGTCTGCCCATCTTAGATACATTTTTTAGCAAGTTCATGGTCCAGATGAAAAGGTAATATGGCCTTGGGGTTAAATATCTAAAGACTCAACCAATAAATGATAATCTGTGACGATGAGTCACATAATCAAACCGGGAAGCACAAATGTAGTTTTCTACTCATTGACCTGATAGAGAACCATCAAAGTAAGATATATTTAAGAAAATATACTATTACACACTAACACTAAGTGTTGTCTAAATCATGATTATGCGTGGAGTGTGCTTAAAACTGCAGCTGTGTGACTTTGGTTTACAACTTGTGAATCTTTTGAACAGAACATTGTGTAAAATAAGTTGTTGAAATAAATAGGGATGTCCCGATCACCTTTTTTTGCTCCCGATCCGATTCCGATCATTTGATTTTGACAATTTGCCGATACCGATTTTTCCCGATCAGATCTTTATGCAATGCATTAAGAGGAAAAAAAGCATTCAAGTTGTCCCTTAAGGTTATTTTTTCATTTAAATTGGATATTCTATCCAACATGGATATAGCTTCTTTCTTTCACAGCAGCATTGGATCAGTTCAGTTGTGCAGCATTGGATCAAAACAAAATAAAGCTTTCAGTACTCGTTAGCTTACTGCTACAATTAGACACTGCGCCCTGCCCACTCTGTTGCCAGATTTGAGAGAAATAAGCAGGTCTATGAAAACAAGCCCCAAAGAAGCAACACATACATGATGTTGTGTCATTTGAAACCAAAACTAAGGCCTCAGGATGACTTTGAGACTTGAACATGGTCATTTTATTTTGTAACATTGAATACAACATTTAAAAAAAAGTATTTAAAAAATAAAAAATCCCGATCCCCGATTTTTTTTCTCCCGATTCCGATCTTTTGAAAATCACGTGATCGGCTCCGATCCCCGATCACGTGATCGGATCGGGACATCTCTAAAGAATGAGAAAAGGTTATAATGAAAACACCTGATTACCAATTTGTATTAACCGATAATGATTTCCTCAATGACTCGATATCTTGTTAGAAATAGTGAAAAATTATGATTTGTGTTTCCAAATGTCTACGTAACTTTAGATATTTAGTTCTCTGTCATAGAGGGGTTAGGAAACGTGGAAATATTCACATTTAAGAAGCTGGAAACATCGAATTATCATAAAAAAAATATATGAAACCGTTCCAAAATAGTATAAATATTAGTCAAAAAAGTCAGCCATTTATGAATAGTTTAAGGATTACATTTGCAGCTCTTATTTACGTGATATCAACACCACAAATATTGAAACTAGGGTGACCAGGTGTCCCGCTTTTATGCATATTTCTCATTCTCCCCGTGTCCCACAAATTGAGACGATGTCCCGCATTTGATTATTCAATAGCTAGAAAACAAAAGAGAGCTATCAGAAATCCACCTATAGTAAAGTGTTGTAAGTCATATTTATAGGCTATAGTTTCAATATAAAGGTTTATTTTTTAGGGTTGGATGGACATTATATTGAAACCTAAACTACTTACTAAAATGTCCCGCATTGTCCCACACAAACACACTCTTTGTCCCACTTGTGGTCACCTCGTCACCCTGATTGAAACCATCAAGTGAACTGGGTTTATCACAGTAAACATTAGATGGATGTAATAACAGCCTAATTATTTAATATAGGTTTATCGGTAACACTTTATATTAAGGTACACATATTCCCCATCAACTACCGTAATGTTCGGACTATAAGCCGCGCCTTTTTCCCCATTTTTCGACCCTGCGGCTTATATAACGGTGCGGCTAATCTATGGATTTGTACAACTAACGGCCACTAGGGGACCTCCTAAATCTATGGATTGTTACAGCTAACGGCCACTAGGGGACCTCCTAAATCTATGGATTTTACAGGTTACAGTCCACCACCTTTAACTCTATGGGCTCTATGGCCGGTCCGCGCCCCCCAGCTTTAAGCGGCGGGCTCCAGCAGGAAAAGCTGGAGGCCGGAAAAGAGTGAGACAGGTAGCGCGCAAAAGTAAAAGTGGAACCGAGAGTGGTACGAGAGACAGAACGAGAGCAAGACAGACAGACATTACGAGAGCGAGACAGTTTGTCCCCGTACCACTGGTTGAAAACCACTGCTGTAGATCACTGCCGGTACGTGCGCTGGGAGCGCACCGTTTAAGTTTGAAAGTTGAAAAGTTGTCTGAAACGCTATGTGATACAGTACAGTTTACACAGCACATGTTCTGTAGCTACTATTGCACTAAATGCTAACACTTGAATACGTTATGCAAATATGCAACTTGTTTGTTGAAATGTTAATAAATGGGAGCTTCCTCAAACAGCCATCTCTTTCCCGACAATCCCCTCTGTGCACGAACCCTTACATAATGGTTAATTAACATTAAAACACCTGCGGCTTATAGTGTCCAGTGCGGCTTATATATGTACACATCATTCAATTTAGCTGACTGCGGCTTATATTCCCAGGTGACGCATTATAGTCGGAAATTTACGGTTTTCTAACTCAGAATATGTCCCTGTTTTAAAGTGAAGTCTTGTTCATAAAGAATAAGCTAGTAGTTTGATCTCTATAATGATGTGAATGAAACACTAGTTGATGGTGAATAAGTGTACCTTAACATAGTGTCCAGTAAGTGAGAACTGTCCTCTGATATCACAACACGGGTGTATAGGTGATTTATCCAAAACTGTGGGGGTCATAAGTTGCCTTTGCATCTTGTTCCCTAGAATATAGCTTCAGTTGTGACGAGAGTCGGTGAGTAAATGCTCTGTGTTTGCTGCCTGAAAGCTGCCGCTCAGAGTGAAGCACGCAGTTTGGTATGCATTCTTTTTTATTTTCCACTGTAGATTTTGAACACGTTTTAACATCTGGAGACAACGGCTGAGCTTTGGTGCTTGTTCATATGTCAGCTGATGATTGCAACTTTTGTTTTACCTCACGTTTGATGTTAAATAATGCATCTCTGAAACACACATGGGTTTAAAAATCCTCACGGGAGTCAATGTGGCAAAAATATTTAGTCAAAATGAATGTGAAAATGTCCTGTTGTTTTATAT